AACTCCACAACTTTTTAGACCTATTTATTGAACTGCGACTATAAAATTTTTGCAACAATTATTTCAATCAGGCTAAATGCAGTCATTGGAGATGTTATCAATATTAACCAAACAGGATTTATCCCGGTTAGGGATATATCAGACAACATTAGAAAATCTATAGATATTATTTTTTATAGTAAACAATATTTGCATGATACCTGCTTGATGTCTTTAGACATCGAAAAGGCATTTGACAAGGTTGAGCCTTTATTTTTAGTGGAAGTAAATCGTAGAATGGGTTTTGGAATAGGTTTTCAAAACATGTTCATAGCAATATATAACTCTCCAAAAGCACAGGTTGCAGTTAACGGTTTGTTATCAGAAGATTTTATTTTAACTAGAGGGACAAGGCATGGATGTCCCTTGTCCCCCCTCCTTTTTGCGCTCTCTATCGAGTCACTAGCGAACCAAATACGCCAACACGAGTTGATCCCAGGTATAATAATTAACAAAAATAATTACAAAATTAGTCTTTTCGCGGATGATTTTGTTATATATATTCAACACCCTCAGCGAACTATTAAAATTTTAGAAATAGTTTTGGCAAATTTTGCTATAATCTCGGGGCTTTATGTAAACCAGTCTAAAACAATTTTATATCCTATAAATTTAACCACAAAATCTGAGCAATTTATACGTTCCCAATTTCAATATCAGTGGGTAAAAAATTCATGGACCTATCTAGGTGTTAAAATTCCTAGGGACTTAAGCAAATTATATCAGGTGAATTTTGAGGAAACCATTGGAAAAATAAAAACGCAACTAGAAATTTGGCATCAACAAAACCTTTCATGGTTAGAGAGAATTCAAGTGATTAAAACCTTTGTTTTTCCAAAATTGATGTATCTTTTTCGTACACTTCCTCTACCGATTTCTTCATCCCAATTATCTAAATGGCAAACTTATTGGGTTAAGTTTATATGGAGTTATCGTAAATCGAGAATAAAAGTCAATACCTCATGTCGACGAACTAAGATAGGAGGTCTGGCTTTACCTGACATCAAATTATATTATGAAGCTTCTATTCTTTCAAATTTAACAAGAATTTTAAAATTTAAACCCCAACTAGAATGGGTAAATGTAGAGGAAATCTTTTTAAACGGAAAACAATATGAAACGATTATCTGGAGCAGTACAACAGAACATCAATACTCCATTTCTAAACATCCATTTATTCAATCACTATTTAAAGTGTGGGAAAAGAGACGCACAGTTTTAGATCCGGACATATCTTTAGCATCCTCTTATTTTAGACATTGGTTCCAACCAGCAATGGCTCCTAATTCATTTTTACTTTGGAAAAAAGCCCAATTTAATACACTATATAGCTTGACTAAACAACAAAAATTAATGGACAAAGTTACGCTAGAAAAGAAAGCAAAAATTATTTTACCGTGGTTTGAATTTACGCAATTGAAGTATTTGTTTTCCCAGCCGCAGATAAAAAAATCATGTGAAAGACCACTTACAGAATTTGAAATATTGATTTTGTGTCCACAGAAACAAGATAAGGGATTGATTTCAAAAATTTATAAAATACTAATTGATCCACACCCTTATACAATTCCTTCATATACAGAAGCTTGGGCAAGAGATCTTAAAACAAATTTGAATGAAGAATTTTGGGACTCAGTTTGGAACGCATATGCATCAACAACTAAATCAATAAATGTCCAGTAACAAAATTACAAAATTATATCCCGGTGGTATTTAACTCCGATGAAATTAAATAAAATGTGCAAAACCATATCTCCTCTCTGCTGGAAAAAGTGTGGAGAGTTAGGATCATATATCCATTGCTGGTGGGACTGTCCTATGGTGCAGACCTTTTGGCAAGAAGTTATAAAGGAAGTGAAAATGTTAACTGGAATACAAATACCATTATCACCAGCAGTTATACTTTTGAACAATTGGACGGACATTCCAATAACAACTTATAACAAAGAACTAATCATTTTACTGCTTTCAGCAGCAAAAACAACCATAGCTTCTAATTGGAATCAAACTAAAAAACTGGAACTGCGATCATGGTATTCTAATATATGGAACCATTTACTCATGGACAAAATTTCAGACAGTATAGCTTATAAGGAATCATCTCGAATGACTGATTCATTTTATGGTAGATGGCACCTCATTTTGGAAAAATTGGAATATATTTTGGAAAATATTTGTGTTTCACAACACTCGCAATATTATTCTTTTATTTGCCAAAACTGGATTTTGTAATAATTGTATTGTATTCTTAAGTTTTAGTAAAATATTCATTTGAAAAGAGAGAAAGTATTATGAAGGACAAAAAATAGGAAGGTAGATTCTACATTTTTTTGTATTAATAATGGTCTGTGTTGAAGTTATGTTATATGTTGAATATTGTATTTTATATTTGAAAAATAAAAAATTTATTTAAAAAAAAACAGAAGGAAAAGTCAAACCTAACATTCTTTCTTTATTTAACAATCCAGTCACTCTATGGTCTTGGGCAGAAGAAATCTTACAAATAGCACCCTCTATTTCCTTCCTCACATAGAATCCACTGCTGCTAGAAAACCATAAAAAGTGCATGCACGGTTGTTATTTTGCTGATTTTGCTGATTTGTGGAGTATCTGTGCTCATGGAGCAGCAAAACAGGTGAAATAACTTCCTCCAAGTGCAGTTTTTCCATGAAAACTGCACTTGGGAGGGAGGAGACAAAAGCCCTTCCTCCCCCACCCCCATGGGACCATTCTGAGCCTGTTTTGGAGTCTTTCAATTTTTAGAAGCAGTTCTCCACAGCTGCTTGTGGCTGCGGGGAACATGGGCATACCAGGTGACTACACATTTTGTGTGTAGTTTGCTTGTCTGACTCAATCCCTTGGGATGGGCCACTTAGTCTGGCAGCCTGCCCCATAGGCTAATCTTTTTGCTCACCATACTCCCATTCAGCCATCCTTTTGCTACATTTAGGAGACTCATGACCACCACCTGTGGCCCTCCATTTATCCCAGCAACCCTTCATCACTCTCCAATCATACAGACTGCAAGTGTTAGGAAACACCAGCACTGGACTGTGAACCCCACTGCCAATCTGACTCCCACAGTGAAGACAGCTAATGTGTCAAACACATTTATTGAACAGCATCAGTAATGGAAGTCTGAATGCGTTATCAGGTGAATGTGGTGTCAACTCTCTTGGCCTAGTGTGGTTCCTATTCCTTTAAACACTGCAATGACAGACCACAGAATCACCTGAAAAATTGGTACGTGAAGAAGTGGTACCTGAAGAAGTGAACAGTGGTCGTCCCGGTCACACGAGCGGGATACCACACCACTGAAGGGAGGCAAAGCAGAGCCCGAGCAAAAATAACCTCGGGAGCACGATCCGATGTGCCCCTGTGGCTCCGTGCTCCATCTTTCAACAATCATACGTAGCATGGCAAAACGGACGTTGCGCGTTTGTGTGCATGTGTGGGATGGGGAACGGTGTTGGCTGCGACGGGCTACCAGCGCTTCCCCGATCAGATGCCTGGAGTTGCCGCACATCATCTGGACAGATGCCTGGAGTTGCCGCACATCATCTTTGGATAGTACCTTTTTAATGCGCGTTTATGGGCCAAAGGAGCAGATCTGGGATGGGTGCATGACGCTTCCCAGATGTTGCGGTGTGATCGCACCCGCTTGATGCGCCCCCAATCCGTCCCTCTTGCGGGGCAAATCCTCCCATGTGACTGGGGCCAGTGACTCACAAAAGCTCATACACTACCACAAATTTTGTTAGTCTTTAAGGTGCTATACTGGACTCTTACTCTTTTCTACTGCCACAGAATCACAGTTAATGATCAATGCTCCCTCTAAGCTGTGGAGTCTTGTGAGCAAAAATTCTACTTTGTGAGCTACTGGCATTAAAGTTGTGAGCAAGCAATTTAGCCACTGCATAAATTAGTTTGCTCTGGAACCATCCTTCCAAAGTTATGACAAAAATGTGTGATCTGGAGGCTAAAAATCTGTGACTTAGCTCACACTAACTCAGCTTAATGGAACCACTGGTAATGATGTCCCTATTTTGCATGCCCATAAGGACAACTGTGGTGGTCAAACAATTGTCTGTTAAATGGCACTGGTACAGGAGCAGAGGTAGAACAACAGAGTTAGCAACCACACAGCAAAACAGATAGATGCACAGTGGTCTCTTCAGATGTTGGTTCAGTTGTAGCCTCAGCAGGTAAGTAGCCTTATGACTGGGATCCACCCTGGCCTTTTTGAAGGCATTGTGCAGATTCAGAAGCAGCCTCATAGCCAGAAATAATTTGCCGGGGGGGGGGGGCATTTACCTTTACCTTGATTTAATTACACTTGTGTAGGGCTTAGGTGATATCTTAGGCACTTTGAAGGCTGAGTTCATGGTTGTCCCCTAAAGCCTGTAAGCCTGTAGGAAAACAAACAATTATCCATTTAGATACGATTTTATGAAATAATAATTTAAAGTCTTGAAGAATGCCTATTCTATAGTATATCAGGAAAATAAACAATTATCCATTATGAAATAATAATTTAAAGTCTTGAAGGATACATATTATATAGTGCATTAACATAAATGTACAACCAAAGAGTGATCTTTGGGGGAAACTACACAGACTTGTAAATTAAGGATGTTTTATTTTATTAATTACTGAAAATATGGAACATATGATTTTAATGATGGTGTCCTCATCATGCCAACGTGGGGGTGGGGATGCCCCTGGACTGTGTGAAATATCTGTGTTTCTTGGGTGTGATGCTTTCATGATTGGCATGAGCCAGCAGTTTTAAGATTAGAGTATGGAATGAAAGAATGAAAATGCATTGTGGTATTTCACTACTTATATTACCATGACAGTTGTCTTGATTAAGTCTGTCTTTGTAAACTTTCTTTTGTAAACTGCTGGCATAATGAAAGTGATATCACCTTACTAGTTAATCCAATTTGTTCTCTATTCAGGCTTATGGAATGACATATCCTGTAGTGCAAAGAAGAGTTTCATCTGTGAAAGGCACAACAGTTCCGTCCGTTCAACCATTGCTCCCACATTGCCAGCACCTCAAGGAGGCTGTGCTGAAGACTGGCTTTTGTACAATAACAAGGTAACAAATAGAGTCATCTCAAACATATCACTATATTGTACTGAAAAAACAATATAACAATAAAAGAGTCAATCCAAGGACCATAATTTCCGCAAAGTGTTTAGCATTTTAAAATAAAAATGAGTATTTTCACAGTTTAATTTATATGCTTCTAGCCCCAAAATATTTTGAAATAACCTTCAATAGAAATTCATAGCATTTTTTCCTTTTAAAAATATTTATTACTTTATAATCTTTAAAATAAACAGGCAGGATATAGAACCATCATAATATATAAAGATGCTAAACAGACAATTGTGCAGACCAAAGGCAGCTTACAATAAAAGTTGTGTTAAACTGACATTGCCACACAGTCTCATATGTAAGATGCCTCTGGTGGGCAAGAGTCCTTTTGGGTCCTATCAGTGCTGTGCTGAACACCTGGCCCTCCTCAGCCCCAGCCCAGACCATTCTCTGCCTTGACAGCAACCAATAAGTGCTCTTTAACCACTTTTGTTTACATTTTTATTTCAAAAAGAAATAGAGATCACTGCCAAATTGTGAAATAGTTAAATTATTGTGACCCTCTGAGAACATGGGCTACTCCACTAACTATGGATAGTTAGAGTACATCAAACCAAGATTTGAAACCGTGGTCTGAAGTTGGTTAATAAATTAATTGTGCTTATATCCCACCCTATTCCATGATGGGCTCAGAGCGGCTCACAACAGAAATAATAAATATATGATCAAAAACTAATTAAATAAAACAAGATGGCAGCAAAGAAATGTAACATTAGTCTAGAGCAGCCTAATATGCTTCCCATTAAATGTTAGGAGGATGGTAGGCATCTGTAGGCCTACTGTGGGTAGGGGAGGCCAAGATGGTAAAAACATCCGCCACCTCAATCAAAGGCCTGGTGGAACAGCTCCCGCTTTGCAGGCCCTGCAGAATTATAGCAAGTCCCGCTGGGACCTGATCTCAATTGGGAGCACATTCCACCAGGCGGGGGCCAGGGCAGAGAAGGCCCTGGCCCTGGTTGAGGCTAAGAGGATGTATTTTGGGCCAGGAACTACCAGTAGGTGTTGTTCAGTGTAGCGCAAGGCTCTCTGGGACATATATGGGGAGAGACAGTCCCAAAGGTATGCTGGTCCCAGGCCACATAGGGCTTTAAAAGTCAACATCATAACCTTGAAATGGATCTGGTATTCAACTGGCAGCCAGTGCAGTTGGCGTAGCACTGGCTGAATGCACACCCACACAGATTACTCCATCAGCAAGCGCACTGCCGCATTCTGCACCAGCTGGAGTTTCTGGGTCAAGTTCAAGGGCAGCCCCACATAGAGCAAGTTACAGTAATCCAGCCTGGAAATGACTGTTGTATGGATCACTGTAGCTAAGTCCTGGGAGGAGAGACAGGAAACAAGTTGCCTGGCCTGCTGTAGTTGGTCAAAGGCAAACCTGGCAACAGCAGCGACCTGGACCTCCACTGAAAGTGAAGCATCCAGGATCACTCCAAAGTTTCTTGCTTTTGGCACTGACATTAAAGGCTCCCCACCAAGCTGATCCCAAACCCCCATGACTCAGATACAGGACCTCTGTCTTCACTGGATTTAGTCCCAACTGGCTCTGCTGTAACCATCCAGCTATGGCTCCTAATGCCCTGTCCAAATTATCTGGGGCGGAGTCCGACTGGCCATCCATCAGCACATAGAGCTGGGTGTCATCAGCATACTGGTGACAACTCAGCCCAAACCTCTGGACCAACTGGGCGAGGGGGTGCATATAGGTGTTAAAAAACACTGGAGAGAGAATCGCCCCCTGTGGCACTCCGCATTTCAGTGGGTTTTGTGGAGATACTCTCTCCTCAAGTGCCACTTTCTGTTCCAGCCCACGCAGAAAGAAGTAAAGCCACTTTAGAGCAGTCCCCGTATCCCTACATTAGCAAGGTGATTGGTCAAGAGATCGTAAATGACCATGTCTAACATTGCTATCAGGTCTAAGAGCAACAGCAGCACCGACCCACCCAGATTCAGGTGTCTGCAGAGGTCAACAATGAGGGTGACAAGGCAGCAAAGGCAGAAGCCGGACTGGAAGGGGTTCAGGATGGAAGCGTCATCCAAAAAGGCCTGGAGCTGTTCAGGCACCGCTCTCTCAAACACCTTACCCAGAAATGGCAAATTCGAAACCAGGCGGTAGTTAACAAGGACCACAGGGTCCAATGATGGCTTTTTCAAGAGTGGATGTTCTACTGCCTCCTTTGGCCCTACTGTGAATATCTCTGAAGACAGGGACAAGTAAATAATATGTCCCAGGGGAGCTCAAACACTGTCCCTGCAGGCCTGGACCAACCACAATGGGCACAGGTCCAGGGGGCAAGTCGTCAACCTCACAGCTACTAGAATCCTGTCAACTTCTTCCTGGGAGAGCAGGTTGAATTGGTCCAAAACCAGGTCAGAAGACAGACAAGGGGTTTCCAGTTCCCTTACTATGTCAACTGTGGCCAGGAGGTCCTGGCGGAGCACCAAGACCTTTTCTGCAAAATAGCTTGCAAATGCCTCACAGCTAATAGCTAATTCCATATCACTTTACTTGCCTTGTGGCAAGGTAGTTAAAAACCAAGTTGTTCTAAATAATTGGGCCAGGTGACAGCTTGCAGACGCAATGGAGGCTGCAAAGAAATCCTTCTTAGCTGTCTTCACTGCCATCTCATAGGCTTTCATAAACATCCTATAAGATGTTCTTGTAGCTTTATCACAATGGACTAACTGTGGTGTCACTTGATGTATCCTGGCTTAACCCTCGCTTGTTCCCCAGTGCAGGGATGCAGACCAGTATGTGAGTGTGGGGGGTGGGGTGGGGGAGACAGAAGGCAGTATAACCAGTATTTCAGTATTGAGTGAAGCAAAATAGGATTTGCTAGTTTCACAAACAAACCATATTAAAACATGTTTTTCCCCTTTATATCTGAATTGAACCATAGTCTTACTACCTGACCTTGTGTATTTTCCTCAATCATTTCATGATTGATGGAATTTTTGAGGGTTTTTTTTTCAGTGCTTCCAAATATTTGGTTTTTATGAAGAAGACAGAAAAAACTGGAGTGCTGCACGTACCGCTTGTAAAACCCTAGGTGGAAACCTGGCGACTATACCTAGCAAAGCTGTTCAAGGTGTGATCACTTTGTTAATACATATAGACTGCAAGGGGGGGGGGGTTCCAGGGCCCTGATCTTAGGGAGAGAAATAGAGCCAGCTGTTCATTTGATTTTAATGTGTGTTGGATCTGGGTTGTATGTGGTGGGGTGTGGCCCAGAAGGAATCTTTATCTGGAAGGCCCTGGTAGCGCTCAACAGCCTAGAATATTTATTTATATATTTAGCATATTTTATCCCAATTTTCTCTCCAATGGGGACTCAATGTGACTTACAAAAAAACCTCAATATGATTTAAATAAAGAGTTAAACAGAATACAGCGTAAAGAAATAAGCAAGAAACAAAGGGTACTCAAAGCATCCTGGGCTGGACTGGAATCCACCATCAGGCCACAGACTGCAAACTGTAGACTAAGAGCTAAGGGCCAAGAGTGCCCAGGCTCCATCCCCAAACCTCCAGGAGTTTCTCAACGTGGACCTGGCAACCCTACCCTCACCCCCTACTGCTGGCCAGGGGTACCTGGCAACCCTATTCTTACCTTTAAGGCCCTATATAGTTTGAGGTCAGGATACTTGTAGGACTACTGCCTTCTACATTGTCCAGCCTGCCCACTAAGGTCCTCTTCACAAGTCATGCTCTCCATGCCATTGCCTTTAGAGGTGAAGCAAGTGGCAACCAAAGAAAGGGCTTTATCAATAGTGGCACTTCACCTATGCAATACCCTTGTCCTGACTACCAGCACAGAGAGGTAGTTTCTAGATGTCAGAGTTGGTTTGAGCACAGTTCCAAGTTTCAGATACTGGCTAGATGACACTCACAGCTTCAAGTCCAAAGGGGAATCTGATATCAAGGTTTCTAGATACAGGCTAAGGCCAGAGACAAGGAGATCAAGTCAGTATACAGGTAGTCAAGTCAGTAACCATTAAATAAGTCAGTAACCATTAAACCATTAAACACACTGCTAAACCACCTGTATTGCATCACATACCTGCAGGCTACCTCAGTCCTGCTCCTGCAAGCACTTGTCCTCGCTATTTATGATGGGCTGATGCTGTGCTGCTAGCCGAAAACTATGCCCTCAGACTTGAAGGCCTCTCTTTATCTTCTTCCAACAGTGTTCCCAAAGCTCTGGTGATGGAGGGAATGAATTGGCTGGCAACTGGCTCTCAGTTGCCAGACCAGGGCTAGGAAGCTGAGGAGTCAGTGTACTGGTTCCTGGCTGAGGATCTCTGTCAGGCCCTTCAGGGACTGCCTCCTCCTGCAGTACCTCTGCCACAGGCTGTGAGTTTGCATCAGGTCTGCTGACTATGTCCTCCTCAGAAGTGTCCTCTTCATCTTGTTGCTATGCTGGACCACAACAACCTTTTCCTTGTTCTCCCAGTGCCTACTCTACTGCCATTTAGTTGCTAGAACAAACATTGGTTTACTCAGGCTTTTAATTAAGGGGTTAATTTTTAACTCCATTTCATAATGCTTTTAGACTAGTTTTAGACTAGACTATACACAGTTTTAGCTGTTCAGTGTTCTATACTCTAGCTGGGCTTTTAGAAATGGGTTGTAATTAATAATTCTTAATGTTTTATGTTTTCATTATGCTTTATTTTGTAAGCCACCTTGGACAGGTTTCCTGGAGAGGTGGTATAAAAATGTCCTAAATGAATAAATATCCTCAAAACTACATGTGATCCCCCTTTCCAAAACATAACCTTGAAAGATAGAACTGGTGGCAGAAAGGCACCCTAGCAGGGAAGGCCTCAGGATTTAGATGAAATACTCCCATGAGTATGTGTGGAAGCAATCCACTGACATCAAGAAATGTTGAAAAAAAATACTGAATGCTTCCTGGAGTCAATGAATTCTTCTTTTCCTGTTCATGGGAGCATCTAGGCCTAGACCATATGGTAATATAGTACTGCCCATCAAAGGAGAAACACAGAAGGACAAATTCATCTGGATGTCCTGGCATAAGACGAAAGGACGATTTGATATCACATTTAGCCAATTCAGCCCCTCGCCCACAACTACGGACCATACGGATCGCCTCATCAAAAGAAGTGTACCTAACCGAGCAAAGCTCACTAGGTTTAGCGTCATTCACTGATCCGCCAGGAGGATAAGACAAATGGTGAATGAGGCGATACTCCCCAAGTGCCTTATAGGGCACCACACCTAAAAGTGATACCTGCAGGTTGGGCACCAGAGGTAAGGGGAAAGGACCCAATACCCTACCTTCCAGAAACTCTTTTTGAATCTTGGCTCTAACCACCTGCTCCATGCCCCAAACTGAGGGCAAATTAGGAGTCAAAATTGAACACCTCTCACCCGCATAGGGAATGTGAAACCCAAACTTGAACCCATCCAACAAATACTGCCTATTGGCAAACTTGGGGTACATGCGCAACCAGCACTAACACAGGAACTTTAATTAGACTGGGTCCCTTTGTCAGGTCAGGCCTGACTGCCCCCCCCCCCGATGTCTACCACCTTTGCCATCCTTAGCGGCAGGTCTGGCTTCTGCCTCGGGGCAGGATGGAAAGGAATGGGGACCGGCACAGAGGGGGCATTCATGATGAAAGGAACATGTTTTCTGGCTGCAATACCCCTGTGAGGAATACTCCCAACACAAGAGGCGCCTTTGGAGCGCCTGGCCACCCTGGGGACACAGAGCTCCTGCATTAGCAGCATTAGCTATTTTCACTACATGTCTGCTGTCGGAATGCTCCCCTAACGTAGGCCTGGCCGGGGACATTGTCTGAATCCAGATATGCAGATGTATTGGGTCCCAGCGGAGTGCCAGGTACATAGCTGCCTTCATCCGGAAGGCCTTATTGTATTCCATCCAAGCGGACCCAGAAAAGTCTGAATAACCTTTGTGGATTATGTCCATATACTGGAGCAGAGATGAGGCCCTTCCAGGCTGCGCCCTAACACTCACTGCGGCATAGATTTAAAAGCCGGGGTACCAATTAGCATAGATTCTATCTATGCTGCGGCGCTTCAAGCGCTCTTTGTTGTGTTCATCCAAATCTTCTCTATCTTTTTTATCTAGCTCCCTGTATAACAAGGAAAATACATCTACATACTCTCCCCATAATATCTTTTCCCTGGTGGCCGCCGTGAGGTGGTCACCTAAAGGCATAGCTAGTTCCCCAGATGGCAACTCTTTTGCTGGCACCATCTCATAGGTCCTATTACCCGGATCAGGAGCAGCACACCCCGTCCACACCCCACCTTGTTGATACTGTCCAGGCCATGATGGAAGTGGCATGCCCACTGAGGCTGGAAGAGATTCCCCGGACGGCACTGAGGCAGATGACACAGATGATGTCTGAACTCCCCCACCGCCATGTAGGTTATCTAATGTGCTAGATGGGGAAACCCCACCAGCCAGAGGCTGGGCATGTGCAGCTCCAACCAACCCAGATGTAAGAGGGATGCTAGTGGCCCCAGATAAGGATTCCACTACTGGCATTGGAACCGATGACCCAGCTGATGCCTGTAGGCTGTCCGGGCCCCAAGGCCAAGTGATGTCAGGTGTTTGTGCAGAAACTGGCCTACCTGGAGCATGTGACGGGCCCCTGAAAAGCATCACTTGATGTTCCATGCCCCCCTGTTCAGCTGGGCTGTCCTGCCTCTCGACCGGTCGCACTTCCTCATTCTTGGGAACAACAGCGTGGCTCATAGCACCTACACGCTGACTTTCAAGAATGGAGAGATGATTCAACACCTGGCTCTGAAAAATGTCCATAGATGACATAGCAGGTTGCAAAGTGGGCCAAGGCCCACCCAACCGCTGTTCAATTCCAGCTAACCTATCCAAAATAGGCCTTCTAATTGGAGTATCCCAAAATGCATCCAAGAGAGCCGGTGAAACAGTACCAGTAGAATCTAAGGGACCCAATGCTAAATGTGCAGTGCCCAATGGCGCAAACGGCACTGGGAATACTGGCAGGGGAACTGCGCCTGGTGTAATTCCTGAAGGCCCTGTGCCACCTGGATTAACTGACGTGGCACCATTATTAGGCCGTTTTTGCAGGGGCTGCTTGCCCTTTGCAGGAACTGTACCCACCCTTTTGTGCGCAGGCTGTTTACCCTTTGAAGCCCCTGTGCCCTTCTTTGGAGCCATGCCTTCTGGAAGCACTGCTAATGCCATCCCCACTCTTGCCACAGATGGGCTATTAGAACAAGTGGGCTACAACTGGCCTAATAAAAGAGTCCTAAAATAGCTGCCGAATAAGCAAGGGAGTTGCCCTAAAATGGCCGCCCAAGGGAAAAGCCGAAAATGGCCACCCAGAACCAAGACCTAAAATGGCCACCATTTCTAATTGCCTAATCGCCATTGCTTTTCCCGCCCTAAAATGGCCACTGCTGTTGGGCTCCACACGCTGCTGCAGCCACCCAGAAATGCCACTGCCACCTCCAACAGCCACCGCCTCCTCAAGCCGCCGCCACTGGAGCCCCCGCAGCCGCACAAGCCTCTGGACACCCTGACTGCCATCGGATCACACCGCTGCCATGCAGCACCCCCGCCACTGCTGTTACACAAGGCTAAAGGCCTTAAGGAACAGCAGGACAGTCCTCGTGCTCCAACTTCACCGAGCACGCAAGAGAACTGCTGTGGCAGAGGGTGGGAGCTGAGCCTAAATAGGCTGGCTCCTCCCCCTGTCTGACACATTAATGGGGTAGAAACTACATAATTAAGAGCATACTTACAGGCCCAATCTGCATTTAGCATTTGTTCAGTTGTTTTACCAAACCCACACTGGAACAGAAAAAGATGCAGTTCAAAACCACATTCAACTACACCGGGCCAACTCTGTACTGACTGCAGAGTCCCCCCCCCCCCGAATGGCCATAAAACGGCCATAAATCTATGCAGGCAGCCACCATAAAACCAGAGATCAAACAAAGTGAAAGCGGCATGCACTCTGGACACTGCCATAAACTGTGACAAAGTGAAAGTGGCATGCAATGTAGATGAGAATTTCTGTTCCAGTGTGGGTTTGGTATAACAGCGGAGCAAATGTTAGATGCAGATTAGGCCACATGAATCGTTTGATTACAGTAGTGTCCTATTTATCTGTTTAAACATTTATTAGCATAGAGTTTTGGGCTGGCTTTTCACAGATCCTTCCACTTGCCTTCATTATGATTTGCAAGGCATTGATTAGTCTACAGAAAAAGATACTTGGGTCAATGTATTAAATAGTCTTTATTTATGCAAGTCCATTCTTTGTGTGTGTGTTTGTGTGTGTGTGTCTATATATCTATATATATCTTTGTATTATCTTTGTTTTCACTCAGCTTTCCTTACCATGCACTTCAAAAACGTGCCAGTTGATTCTTGGATTGGACTGCATGATATCATTGAAGAGGGAAGGTTCCTATGGACAGATGGAAGTAGTGTGCGTTATACAAACTGGGCCCCCACCCCTTCTGTAAGTCCTGCTTGTGAATTCTTTTCTCCTTTTCAAAGTGATTCATTTTGTACCACCATTTTTTCAATTTTTATAACAAAATTACATATATGGAAAAGTATCCAGGGCTGCGGTCACACGGAGCAGTAGCCATGCTACAGAGATGGAAGATAGGTGGATTTTTCGGGCGCAATCACACTGCCACATCTGGGAAGCATAGAGCTCCTGTGGCTAACCTGAGGCTTCCCGCTGAAGATGCGGGGTAAAAAACTAGTACCTCCGAGGTACTAGTTTCCAGAATCCGCGGGACAAGGGCAGGCGTCTGATTACGTTTCCGACAGTAGTTCCTGGCATTCGGCGCCCACCTATGACCCCTCGCAAAAAGTTGGGGTTTTTTTCTAAGTCTCCACGGGATGTGCACAAGCACCCAATGGAGCATGCACACACTTTGGTGTACACAAAAAAACCCCGTTTGCCGCACCGCTTATTTGCCACGCCACAGGATTGTCCTGTGATCGGCACCTCCTCCCTAACCATGGGACCTCCACAGGATGCCTGATCGCACCACCGTGCATTATTTTGCCCCGGGGCAAACAGCCACGCTTTCTCCCCGCATTTTCCGGCCCATGTGACCGGAGCCCAGGATAGGCAACCCAGTTGTGAATAGACCCTAAACCATAACTGAATCTCAAAGAGTACAAATAAGCCAATTGTGAACAAGATTAGGTTTTGTGCATTAAATGTAGCAGTTAAACTAGCTTTTATTCTTCTCTCTCTCACCATGAGGCTTTTCTTCTATTTGAATTTTGCCAGTGGAATTACTGGAGGACAATGCTCAGTTTTGTCATCAGTTGTAACCTGCACACTCCCTGAAATCTCCAGCAATCTCACCATTCGTGGACTTTCATTCAGATATATGCTTTCTGTCCTCTTAGATGCCAAGGAGAGAAGTTAATGTTTGGAATTTTTGGCAAATATTTTCATCATACACACATACACAATCATTAGTACCAAAATAATTGCCAAAAATTCTTATCGACAATGAAAACTGGGAAACAAAAGCTAGTGTTGTTTATTGGTATCAGACACGGAGCAGGGCAATCCAGATTCAAGTCCTCACTTGGTCCTGAAGCCACTGGGTGACCTGGGGCCAGTTACAGTGCCATCCTGAGAACACTTTCACTCACTGAATAGACCTGAGTTGGATTCTGAGCAGGCCTGTTTAGGATTAGAAACTTTGAGAATTTTAGCACTTATTTTTACTTCTTCCTGTCTTGCATAATAAAGAGAACAATTCCTTTTTCAATAAAAGATAAAAGTCTGTCATCTTTTCAATCTGGTTTACTGGATATAGTTCAAAGAATCAAACTCATATCTTACTTGTTGCACATTTAAAGGTTGTTAATCTGCTTTCTATAGATAAATCTTGGAGTACTCTGCTGCTAAATGGTTTGAATAAACAAAGCCCTTTTAAATTTAGTCAGATTCTATAATTGGATGTGGGAGTGAAGTCTCTCATTACAAGCCACCAGATGGGCCCTAGAGTTTTCCTGGAATTACCATTCACCTCTGGGCTACTGAGATCTATTCCGCTGGAGAGACTGCCCTGCTGAGGTCCCTCCCCGGGCTCTACCTCCAAACTTCCAGGAATTTCCCAGCATGGTTTCAAATTTAACTACCATGAACGACTTCAAATATGTAGTCAAGGAAGTGCATAATAGAAATACATTAATTTAATTAAATACATTAATACATGAATGTGAGCATAGTGGGATATTTAAGGGATTCCAAAGTTGGAATTGTATATTGAGCAGTATTATATGGAACCTGAGCATTTTTCTATCCAGGTCTGCATTGTCTACTCTGACTGGCAGAGGATCCCTAGAGTCTTAAGCAGATGTCTTTTACATCATCTGCCTCCTGATCTTTTTAACTGGGGCTGCTGGGGATTGACTGTGGGACCTTCTCTATGCCAAACAGTCAGACCTGGAGAAAAAGGGGTTTTTCTTTTTAAGAGAAGCTTAGTGGGATGATGTTTACCAGGTGATGTTATTCATCTCCATAACATGAAAAGCTTCAGCTGGTCATTTCTACACATTAAACATCAATAAAAGGAACCGGAGAATTTTCTCCAGGCCTGTTGGCAACCATAGCCACATATACACAGTCTCTCCCCTCATTTGAGGAAGATATTCAATGTAAGTAGGCAAAAGCTTCTTGGCTTAGAAATAATACTTAGCATATATTAATTGTTAATTGTTAATAATAGCATATATTGTTTGTTTTTTATAAAACCATAATAGCATATATTGTTAATGTCACAATTAATAGACACCAAAATATGCATTCACAGATGGGTGTGGTGACAGGGTAAATTGGTGTTTATTTTAGTTACAAGAATATCAGTGAGTTTCTATTTATTTCTTTGAAGCGCCAAAGGTTCCACTTCTCTTCCAATGAGGACTGTGTTACTATGATAAAGGAGCCTGAGAAGTGGGCAGGAATTTGGAAGGAGAGAAAATGTTCAATAAAGTATGGATACATATGTCAAAAAAGCACTGGTAAGTTTTAATTTAAGATATTTTGTAGACCTCAAAGTCCATTTCTTGCAACATAACATTTTGGTCACAAGAAAAGAGATTAATTTTAAATGCCATAGTAAATTATTTAAATCACAATAAGGATTATATGGAGGTGCGGTGGCTCAAGTGCTTAAGACATTGAACTGAAGGCTGTGGAAGGTTGGTAGTTCAGCAGTTCGAGACCGAGCTGCCGCATGACGCTCCCGTCTCTAGTTCCAGCTCCTGCCAACCTAGCAGTTCGAAAGCAAGAAATTGCAAGTAGATAAATAGGTACCACTTCGGTGGGAAGGTAACAGCGTTCCGTGAACCTTGGTGTTTAGTCATGCCGGCCACATGACCACGGAAACGTCTTCGGACAGCGCTGGCTCTTCGACTTTGAAACGGAGATGAGCACCGTAACCCTAGAGTCGCATTCGACTGGCTTTCGAGCAAGGGAACTGTTACCTTTTTAAGGAATATATATATATATAAAGGTAAAGGTTCCTTTGCTCGAAAGCCAGTCGAATCCGACTCTAGGATCTGTTTTTCCACAGATCACCCAAAAGGAGGCCAGAAGGAAGCTTCTGGGATAGAGCTTTTTCCATTTTAACTTCACAGTGTCCTCAGTGTAGAAGAATGGCAATGAGTAGGATGTTAACTGAATAATGGTTAGCTATCTCTTGAAAGAATGAAAATAACTTTCAGATGAACTTGTCAATATAGATGTTGTTGGACAAGGCAATGTCTAGTGTACAAAGAAGAAGAGAAGAAGACCCTGCAGGGGGAAACAAGAAGACAATTAGATAGGATAGTGAGGTCAGCACCTTCTCTCCTGCTAAGTGTCATTCCTTGTCTGTCTCCAGATTGCTACTCTTAGGGCAATTTCCCCCTTCTTCTCAGAAGTGCCACACTCAGTCTTACCCTCTCTCTCAGCTAGATCCCCCATCACTCTGAAGATATCAATGAAATTGCCCCCGACATCCTCTCTGTTCCTGGCAGAAAACATCCCCCTAGTACACTGTGGAGCTTAGGGGGATGAAACAGGAACTCAGATGACTGGAGCGAATTTGGTGGTGTGTTTGCAATGAAGCCACAAGAGCATCCTATAGGACGCTTATGAAATCCTATCAGATGGCAGTGAGGCCACTGAATAAGATTTTTATGTGACCCCCATCATGTTTGCTAGCTTTCACCCAGCTCAATTATTTAGGATAATTTAGGTCTCCTACTTCCCTCTTTAAGAGGACCCAGAATAATAGAAATTTGACTATAAGCTGTGAGACATTTGCTAGCTTTTTTGCAGATGAAGTCCTGTCGCTCCACTGCGACCTTCCAGTCAGTGTTGACTCAGTATGTGAACTGGAGGCCCCTTGGCCATCTTTGAATTCGGTCTTTGACACCTTCAGTCAGCTCTCCTGAGCCAATGTCAACAGAATTCTGGGCGCTGTTAGGCCAACCACCTGCTTCATAGACCCATTCACCTTGTTGCTGGTGAAGGCCAGTGGTGAGAGTTTACGAGGTCCCCCAGAATATATTGTCAATCTGTCCCTGGGTTGAGTGATCTTTCTAGAGGGGCTAAAGGAGGCAGTGGTTGTTCTGCTCTTGAAAAAGCCAAATTCAGATCGTATGGATCTGAACAATACCACCCAGTCTCGAAGCTTTCATTTCTGGGCAAAGTAATTGAGATGGCAAGAGGTGTAAATGAAAAGGCAAGAGGTGCCATAATCAAGTGTTTCACTGAGAGAATTGTGTTGAGAGTAATTCAGATGCCAACAGCCAAAGCTGTGTGGTATGAACTGGAAAGGCTGCATGTAAATTCCTCTTTGAAGAGCCAGCTTTATCTACAAAAGAAACTTTTCAGTATTAAGATGAAAGAGGGGGGTAATTTACATCATCATCTGGACAAGATGTTTGGATTGGCTGAATAGTGGAGGAGTTCAGGAAAGGAAATTATTGAACAAGATCTCATTGTGTTACTATTAATAAGCCTGCCAAAGTCATATGCAAATATAGTGTGTCAGGTTGAATCTAAGAGTTATTTGTCCCTCACAGAAGTTATAAATCAGCTTGAGAAAACATACAACACAGATAATTTGAAAAGTCTGACAAATAATTTAAACCAAATGCTGATCAGATGTAAATAACAAAGGTGGGATCATTTGTCACCTCTGTGGGAAGTGAGGCTGCATTAAGAGGAATTGCATTTCCTTTAAACAAAGAGATGCCTTTCCCAGACAAAGAAAAGGGGGAAGCTCCAAACAGCCGCCATTAAAGAAATGTTTGATTATTGTGTCCGCTGACCGCCACCGGAGGCCAGCGCACACTCCTGAGCTTCAGTCTGGAACAACAATAGGGACCCGGATCCTAGTCCCTCCACTGGGGGAACCAATGGGACCATGGCGGGAGATTCAAACCCGCCAATAGGACCCAGGGGTGGTCCCCTAGTTATGTATATAGTTGGCCTGCCGGCCGTTTGGTTCTTGTTCTTGTTGTGTACCTAATAAAGCGTGCTATGCACTACGTCGTTGTGTGTCGTTCGTCCATGCGGCAACCCACTACACAATAATGGCGACGAGGATGGGATCCAGCCGCAACTGAGCCGGGCCGTCGTGAGGGGCCGAGAGAACGTGAAGCAGCCGCGATCCGATGAGCGATCCAGCCGGCGAGACCACTTCTCTTCCACCCGCTCCGATGCGCACAATGGCGACCACTCCAGGGTTCGGGCCACAGCCGCCCTTCGACATAACCCGTCCGCAAGACTGGCCCGCATGGGTCAGAGGTGTCAAGGCCGCGCTTGCCTTCTGCAACATCACAGACGACGGCAAGAAACGAGGGTTCCTCTTGGCCTCCTGCAGCACCGCCATCATGTCCCTGGCCAAAAGGTTGTTGTCCCCGATGGACCTCGACTGCTGCACCTTCGACCAAATTGTCGGCGCAGTGCAAAATTACTTCGCGCCCAAACCAACGAAGCTGACCTGCAGGATGACCTTCTACACCCGCAACCAGCTGGCCCGAGAGACCAGTAGAGGGAGTACAGGTGTGCACGACCCAGGACTTCAAGGGAATTTGCCACGAGTTTTCCGCTGTTTTTGATGATTCTCTGGGCCAATATACGGGGCCCCCGGTGACCTTGCGCTTAGACCCCTCAGTGGCCCCCGTAAGAATGCGATCCAGGACGGTTCCATTGTCGGTCAAGCCTAAAATCGACACAGAACTGGACCGCCTAGTAGCCCAAGGCATCCTGGAGCCAGTCTCCCACACGGTGTGGGAGACTCCCATAGTTGTGGTCAACAAACCAAATGGGGCAGTCCGCATCTGCGTGGACTATAAATGTACATTGAACAAGGCGCTACAGGACCACGCATACCCAGTCCCTGTAGTTAGCCACGTTCTGGCCACCTTGGGTGGGGCGAAGATCTTTGGCAAACTGGATCTAGCCCAAGCTTACCAACAGTTGCCAGTGGATGAGGCAACAGCGGAAGTGCAAACTATAGTAACACACCGGGGGGCATTCCGTGTGAAGCAACTGAGGTTCGGAGTGAGCGTGGTGCCCGGGCTGTTCCAACAACTCATGGACTCTCTCCTTAAAGGGATCCCCGGCATCACCCCCTTCTTTGACGATGTGTTGATCGCCACCGCCACGCCCGCTGACTTCGCCGCTCGCCTCTGCGCTGTGCTCATCCGTTTCAAGGACGCTGGGCTGAAGGTGAAACTGGACAAGTGCCGCCTTGGTGTGCCATCAGTGGACTTTCTGGGGTTCATGGTGGACGCGGAGGGCCTCCACCCAACCCGAGAGAAGGTGAAGGCGATAGTGGAGGCACGCCTGCCAAAATCAAAGGTAGAACTGCAGGCATTCTGGGGGATCCTGAATTTCTACCACGCCTTTCTTCCCCACAAGGCGGCGGTGGCAGAACCCCTCCATCACCTGTTAGACAAGTCCCATGGGTGTGGGGCCCCCGGCAGGCCGCCGCGTTCTGGAACGTCAAAGAACTCTTAATTTCAAACGCGGTCCTGGCTCACTTTGACGAGTCTTTGCTGGTGGTGCTCGCTTGTGACGCCTCACTCTATGGCGTCGGAGCTGTGCTGGTGCATCGCATGCCGGATGGCCAAGAAGTCCCGGTCGCGTATTACTCACGCACTCTATCTGCGGCGGAATGGAACTACGCCCAGATAGACCGCGAGGGACTTGCAATCGTGGCCGGGGTCAAGAAGTTCCACGACTTCGTCTACGGCTGGCCTTTCACGATCACCACGGACCACCGCCCGCTCCTCGGCCTGTTCGCGCCCGACCGCAGGATGCCGCAAGTACTCTCCCCGCGCGTCCTGAGATGGACCATTTTCCTGGCCAGTTACGACTACCAGATAGAGCACCGCCCAGGAAAAGCCATGGGCCACGCCGACGCCCTGAGCCGCCTTCCTCTGCCGGACGTCGTAGAGGACCCGGCTCCAGTTCACCGGATCCTCCAGGTGGAAGACCTCCCGGATGCACCCCTCCAGGCTGCAGACGTCGCCTGCCGCTCGATATCCCTTTATATCCCAGGTGCTGAGCTGGGTGGTGAGGGGGTGGCCTACGAAGGTAGACGGGCCGGAGTTCGCTGCATTCAAGGGCCACAGGGATGAATTGTCGGTGCACAAAGGCTGCCTGGTTTGGGGGGACCGGGTCGTGGTCCCCAGAGCCCTGTGCCAAAAAGTCCTGCGGGCCCTGCACGAGGCCCATCCGGGCATCGTGAGGATGAAAGGCCTAGCCAGAAGCTACGTCTGGTGGCCCGGCATCGACGCAGAGGTAGAAGCATGGGTGAAAAGGTGCCAGGCCTGCCAAGCCGTGCGACCCAGCCCACCAGGGGTGCCACACCACTCTTGGGAATCCACCTGCACCCCGTGGTCTCGGCTCCACATAGACTTTGCTGAACCATTCCATGGACTGTTGTTCTTGGGGATGGTGGATTCCTACACCAAGTGGTTGGAGATCAGCCCCATCTCCGCAATGTCAACAAAAGCAA